TTTCCCTCTAGGCATGGTGGGGTTTGTGGTTGTAGCCGCTTACGGCCTTTACCGAATGAAGGAAAGAGGGAACATGAAGATGTCCGTCCACTTAATTCACACTCGGGTGGCAGCCCAGGCTTGTCTGGTTGGAGCAGTAACCCTCGGTAAGGTGGAAGGCAGAAAGGCACAGCTGTCTGTGGAGCACCTGAACTGGAAGTGTTACGCAGTGGTTGAAGAGTCAGAGTAGAATCAGGGAGACCTGGGTCCAAATCCCCACACTGCCAGGAAGCTCACTGGGCGATCTTCTGTCCCTCCTGCAACCCTGGAGAAGAGGAAAACCACGTGGGCTGCTCTGAACTCCACAAAGGAAGAGGCAGGATAAAAATGTGACAGAAAAAGAGATCCACTCCTGGCCAGTGTTCCCTCTAAGCTGGGTTAGTGTGAGCTAGCTCACAGTTTTTTAGCCTCCGGCTCACACATTTTAGTCTTTGCTCAGGAAGGATGGCTCCAGAGCAGTGTTCCCTCTAAGCTGGGTTAGTGTGAGCTAGCTCACAGTTCTTTAGCCTCTGGCTCACACATTTTTGTCTTCGCTCAGGAAGGAGGGCTCCAGAGCAGTGTTCCCTCTAAGCTGGGTTAGTGTGAGCTAGCTCACAGTTCTTTAGCCTCTGGCTCACACATTTTTGTCTTAGCTCAGGAAGGAGGGCTCCAGAGCAAACTCATTTATGCAGCAGCCAAATCACCTGCTCACAAGTTTAATGCCGGTGGCTCACAAAGTAGAATTTTTGCTCACAGGACTCCACAGCTTAGAGGGAGCATTGCTTCTGGCCTCACAATCCTGGGTGGGCCCAAGTCCCCTGGAGTCTTCATTAAGGGTGCCCCTTTATACCACCCTGTGTCAGCCGTAGGTCAAACCGATAACTCGTGTGCGAGAGCAAGACATACTACCGTAGATTCAGCGTCTTAGGCACAACTTCAGCTTTATTGAGCTCACCTCAAACACACTTTTCACGACTAAGAGAGTTCACACGCGGCTGAGAGGCACCCGTGGTGTTCAGTGGGGATTGCAGCTGGTGAGAGCTGGATGGTTGGATAAGTGCAGTCTTGTGAGCAAAAATTCTACTTTGTGAGCTACTGGCATTAAAGTTGTGAGTTAGCGATTTGGCTGCTGCATCAATTAGTCTGCTCTGGAGCCCTCCTTCCTGAGCGAGGACAAAAGTGTGTGAGCCAGAGGCTAAAAAACTGTGAGCTAGCTCACACTAACTCAGCTTAGAGGGAACACTGGTTGTGAGGAACGAGAGCAACATAATACGGATCTGACCCAGCTGGACTTTGCTGAGGAAGCATGGTCCACAGCCTTTGCAGTGGAAGCATTGTCCCTCCACAGGACCAAGCTTTACGTATCTTGATTTGGAAAATGGAATGCCTGAACTGTGGGGGTCTCCAAGACTGAGTGGAGGCGGGGGCGGGCCCTCACAGGTACACACACTCTTT